GGGAGGGACCCCGCGGCCGCACTCCGTGGGAGGGACCCGGAGGCCGCACTCCCGCCCGAGTCGGAGCCGACGCGGCCGCATTCCCCCTCAAGCCTCCCGGCCTCGCCTACGAGGTCAGGGCCTCACCTTTTCCAACGACGCTCGGCGCTCACGGCCCCGCCGGGACGCGGCCCCGCTCCCGCACCGTCCTCCCGGGAGCTCGCGGCGAGGCCTGGAGGGCGACCACCGCCGGGCTAACGCGGCCTCGCGGGCTCCACAGCCATGTGCCGAGGGCTCCCGCGCGGCAGCTCCCGAAGGCGAGGGAAGCACATTACCCACAATGCCCCGTGCCGAGTGACGTAGGCGTGGCCCTGGTGAACGTACAGAAGGCTCAAACGACGCTGCGGGAACTACGTTACCCACAATGCCCCGTGCCGAGTGCCGTAGGCGTGCCTCTGATGAAGGTACAGCGGTAAGGCGCAAACGACGCTGTGGGAACTACGATACCCATAATGCCGCGCGTCACACGCTGCAGGCATGCAGCCAATGGGCGCACAGAAGTAAGGCGCAAACGGTCAGCATAGGAACTACGTTACCCACAATCCCCCGTGCCGACCGCCGTAGGCGTGCCACTGAGGAATACTCCAAGGTGAGGCGCAAAGGGCGCGGAGGGAACTACGTTACCCATAATGCCGCGCGGCAGACGTGCTAGGCGTGCCTCCCTCAGGCACCTGGAAGCGGGGAGTTTTGGGGGAGGGGGCCCTGGATCGCGGCGCGGGGGTCGCCGTCCGCCAGACCGACCGGGGCCTCGGCGCGATCTGGGTCCTTTGGGGCGCGGGTCGGGCTGCAGGGGCGGGCCGAGGAGACGCTCGCGGAGGGCGGCGGGCGCTACTGTGCAGGGTCCGGTCTCTCGGGAGCCCCCGCTCTCCTGCCCCACCCCGACCCCTCCGTACGGAGCCCGCTGGCGGCCCCCGCGCCTCCCCGCCTCCCCCGCCCAACCCGGCAGCCCCGGCTCCGCGTCCGGACCTGGAGGCGCTGGGCGCGGGCGGGACGGAGGGCTCCCGGGGGGACGGGGCGGGGGCAGGTGACGGGTCGAGGAGGGGCCGCTGAGCCCGCAGCATTGGCGGCGGGAAGGCAGAGGAGGGGGTTCGCCTTCAGCCTCGGGGGCCACAGGGGGGCGCTGCTGGCCGCGGAGCTGTGCCTGCCACCCACCCAGTGCCGGGTGGCTGGGGGCGGGGAGGGGGGGGCGCGGGGTGTCCCGGAGGCCGGTGCTCTGTCCCGGGCGGGGCCCCCGTGGGAAGCGGGCACTGAGCGGAACGGGGAGCAGAGGAGTGACCGACCGAGACCAGCAGACGTGCGCCCTGACTGCTGCCACTCACACTCGGGTTTAGGGTTTTTGTCGTGTCCCTTGGAGTATTTTTTTAACACAGACAGTAGTTATTTTATGAAATTTTTAAAATTGATTTCAGGTCCTGACCGGTGTGGCTCAGTGGATAGAGCGTCGGCCTGCGGACTGAAGGGTCCCAGGTTCGATTCCCGTCAAGGGCATGTACCTTGGTTACAGGCACATCCCCAGTAGGAGGTGTGCAGGAGGCAGGTGATCGATGATTCTCTCTCATCCATGTTTCTAACTCTCTATCCCTGTCCCTTCCTCTCTGTAAAAAATCAATAAAATATATTTAAAAAAGAAAAAGAAAAAAAAAGAATTGGGCAGGGAGCCCTTCAGGCAAGTCCGTCCCACCTGGCAGTGGAGTGGAGACCACTGGGAGTCTGGGGCCGTGTTTGAAGGTGCCAGGCACCATCTGGATGCCATGCTCTGAAGTGAAAGAGAGAGAGAGAGAGAGAGAGAGAGAGGTGTGTGAAACGGAGGGCCGTCAGCCCGTGGCATGGAGGGCACAGGCCCTGAGGCCAGGCTGGGTTCACATGGCTCCTCCCTGCCATGTGCCTGTCGTTGCTGTGGGCGGACACAGTGCCCTTGATACGGTGAGAAGAGGGTAGGCATGTGTGACACCGGGCCCTGCGAGCTCCTCTAAGGGGGTCACGGGGAGAAGGGTGAGCAGGGTGTGGATTTGGGGTCCTGGGAGAGAAGCTGATCATAGATCTGTCGCCGTCAGGCAGGGCTGTGTGACCTTCGATGACGTGGACTGTGCCTAGCCGGCACATCCATGGGTGAACCTGGGGGCGGGGGGCGGGCGGTGAGGGATTAAAGAAGACAGACAAGAGAAGGAAGCCGGGGCTGGGTGGGACGCTGCCCTCCGCTCTGATGGAGAGACAGCGCCAGGGCCTGCAAGCCGAGTCTGTATTTTATAGTCAGACTCCACGAGGCACAGTAAGGTCATGGTCTGGATGTTTACAATGTCCTCACGGTTTCGAATCTTCTCAGTTACACGCACCTGGTCAAGCTGTGTTTCCTGGCTGCACCTCCCGCAGCCGACATCACTCAGCCACGGGGGCCCACGGGTTCGGACCATAAGGTCAAGCTTACACTATAGCAGTGGTTCTCAACCTTGGCTGCACATGGGAATCACCTGGGAATCTTTTTAAAATCCTGATTTCTGGGCTGCATCCTCCGGAAATTCTGTTTCTTTGTGATGGGGTGGGGCCGCAACATTCGTAACAGAGAAACAGAATTTCCGGAGGATGAGGCCCAGAAATCAGGATTTTAAAAAGATTCCCAGGCGAGTCTCATGTGCAGCCAAGGCTGAGAACCACGGCTCTATAGCCTTTGGCTGTAATTGTGCTGCGACTTGCACGTGGCTTTGTCGCGAGGATCGTGCTCTCCCATTAGTCTCAGGCTTGAACCAGTCCACACGCTGTAGCCCCGTGGTTCTCAACCTTCCTCATGCCGCGACCCTTTAATACAGTCCCTCATGTTGCGGTGACCCCCAACCATAAAATTATTTTCGTTGCTACTTCATCACTGTCATGTTGCTACTGTTATGAATCGTCATGTAAATATCTGATATGCAGGATGTATTTTCATTGTTATAAATTGAACATAATGAAAGCATAGTGATTCATCACAAAAACAATATGTAAGTATATATGTGTTTTCCGATGGTCTTAGGCGACCCTTGTGAAAGGGTCGTTCGACTCCCAAAGGGGTCGCGACCCACTCACTGGTTGAGAACCGCTGCATGTAGCCGCTCTCCACAGTGGACATTTTCTTCTCGCAGGAGGAGGGGGGGCTCCTGGATGAGGCGCGGAGACGCCTGTACCTCGATGTGATGCTGGAGAAGTTGGCACTTCTCACTGGGTGAGGCCTTCATGACTCGCCTCGGTCTCCTGGCCCCGTCTGTCCTTCCCACAGACACCTTGACTGGTTGCCTCCCGAACACAACCCGACTCAGGCCAGGGATCAAACCTGCACCCACGCACACGCCCTGGACCCGGAATTGAACCCGCAGCCCTTTCGGTGGGTGTGTGGGCCAACGCGCTAACCACTGAGAACACTGGTCAAAAATGTGGTTTAAACATAAATAACCTTTAACATTTACTAAAAGGCACCAGTGGCCAAACTTCAAAAATATAATCACTGCTGGAGCTTAAATTCTATCTGGGACCCCAGCACTTCACACACTGCATCCCTGTGGCCTTGGGAAAGTGAATGTAATACAGACGAAGAGAGAGATGCTTCATGGGAACTGTAGCCTTTCCTAAAGTTCCCCAAGTCACAGTGTCGGGGAATGAGACATTTGTGGGGGGCTAGCGATCTGAGTCTGTGCCAGTAGCCTGATGCATATTCCTGTTAGCCTATAGTCTCGTCCAGGGGTGGGCGACCTTTTTGTGAGTGCGTGCCAAAACCAGCAAAATCTCTGACTCAAAATTCTTCTGCGTGCCAACCCTAATTTTTTGAGAACATGTTACGCCTATTTGATATCTCTTAAGGTGTATGTATGTGAAGAACCATGAAGAAATAATAAAATTCATTCGTGCGACAGAAACACAGTCTATGATGATGAAAAATACATTTATTTTTTAATGTATACATGTACACTGGTAGTCCGACAGAAAACTTTATGACTCTGATATTATCAGTGGGGCTTTTGCTGCTGCGTCACTGATGACAGAGATTTTACATCAGGTTTACATTTCGTGACCTTCAGAGATATGCACGAGCTACTACTTTCATCCGTCAGGCTACTCCCACTACGAGACTTAACAAAATTCATCACTGAGAACAAAGATTCACACGTGATGTGGATGAAACCAAAACACTGGTCAGATCTAGGAAGGCAGGGAGAGTTAAGGCAGAGGAATAGAAATTGCCTTCCCCTCTCTCGTCAATCCATGTCTATGGTCTTTAAGATAACTTGTTATGTAAAATTATTTATCTATCTAAGATGCACCTACACTGAATTTATCTGAAAAATAAAAAAGTCGATATTAAGAAAAAAATTGTAAATGGAAGATTATAAGAGAAGGTTTCATGTGCCAGCAAAAGTTACTGGCATTTGGCACGCGTGCCAGGGGTTGCCCACTCCTGGTCTAGTCACGGCTCCTTCCTTAATTATCTGGTCCTGCAAGCCCTGTGTACCTAAGTACTCCAAGATCCAGATCCTATACAATGAGATTTTCTCTCTACGTATTGAAAGGGTTAAAGAGAATAAAAGGGGGCAGAGAAAGACTCATTGTGCTCAGCACAGGGGTCGGCAAACTCATTAGTCAACAGAGCCAAATATCAACAGTACAACGACTGAAATTTCTTTTGAGAGCCAAATTTTTTAAACTTACACTATATAGGTAGGTACATTGTTATTAACTTAATTAGGGCCTTTATCTAAGCTGGCCTTTGCTAAAAACGCCCTCAATCTGATTGAGGTACGTTCGCTGAGGTCCACCCCTTCCAACTCTCCCATCCACACTCGTCTTGTAGACTTGTTTCGTCTATCTCCTTTCCGAAAACAGACTTCTGCGCATGGGCCACGAAGTTTCAATCGCACTGTACGTGCGCGCCCGCACATGGTATTTTGTGGAAGAGCCACACTCAAGGGGCCAAAGAACCGCATGTGGCTCTCAAGCCGCGGTTTGCCGACCACTGGCTTAGTAGAGTCTTGCAGAAAGCTTGCAGCCTTGAGCACAGCATAGCTCAAATAACCAGAAGACACCTGGCATGGGAGGCACCAAGGACGGACCAGACCCTTCCGTCAGCAGAGCGCCCGCAGCCAGCAAAAATCAATAAAACCCTCTCTCTCCCTGCTCTCCTCACCAACGCCCCCCCTCGGCATAAACCATGAACAATACACAACCCCCAGACGGGGTTATCAGCACTGGCGCCAGGCCAGGCCTCTAGGTATGGTCTCCCGGCCCCCACCCCAACACACGGGGCTTTCTGCAAAGCCCGGGAAAGGTCCGGAGGTCCCATCCCATATCTGGGGGACAGAGAAAGCAAAGGGTATAAAGGGAAAGCTTCCTCCGAATTGGTTGGCTCAGGGTTTGGAGAGAAGCCGTCTGCCCTGAGTCACTGACCGGGACACGTGCGACACCTGAAAATAAATGGCTTTTTCCTGGCGCTCCTGCATATCGTTATCGTTCGGTCGCCGGGAAAATTCCGTAACAATAGCACCCAAAGGCTAGCCAGGAGGGAAAGACTCCTGCCGTAAGTACTCACTTGTTCAGCTCCAGAGGTCACACTGGAGAGAGACCGCACGAGTGCCCTGAATGTGTGCGAAAAGCTTTGGGTGCAAATGCAGATGCGAGGGCGCAGCACAAGTCCCCGGAGAAAGGCCCGGCGTGTGTGCGAGCGCGGGAAGCTTCTGAAGCTACAGCCTCGCCGAGCACAGAGGAGTCACGGGCGGGAGACGGGGCCTCCAGTGCGGGCAGCGCAGGGAGCCCCCAGCAGAACAGCAGCCTCACTAAACGTCAGAGTTCACACTGGAAAGAGGCCGCCAGCAGCAGCTTCACTAAACGTCAGAGTTCACACTGGAGAGAGGCCGCAAGCAGCAGCTTCGCTAAACGTCAGAGTTCACACTGGAGAGAGGCCGCGAGCAGCAGCTTCGCTAAACGTCAGAGTTCACACTGGAGAGAGGCCGCGAGCAGCAGCTTCTCTAAACGTCAGAGTTCACACTGGAGAGAGGCCGCGAGCAGCAGCGTCGCTAAACGTCAGAGTTCACACTGGAGAGAGGCCGCGAGCAGCAGCGTCGCTAAACGCCAGAGTTCACACTGGAGAGAGGCCGGCGCGGTGGTGGGCAAGCCCTTTGGTGGGAGCCCAGCCTCACTCAGCTGGGCGGTGCTCACACCGGCCCCGGGCCCATGAGCGGGGCTGATGTGGGAAACCCATCAGGCCAGCCTGTCCTTATTCAACTCCAGACAGTACACACTGGAGAGAGGCCCCGCAGATGCAGCCAACGGGAGGAATCCTTCGGCCAGCACCCCCGCCTCCATCCCCACGCCAACCTCTGATATTCACACCAGAAGGCCCACACTTGAGAAAAGCCGTAGACCCGGAGGAAATGCGCATCTCCTCGCTCATGGTCACGATGCCTGGCGGCCACGTGCCTGAAGCTGAGCCTCTCCTTCCAAGCGTCCAGAAGGTTGAGCTTCCCCCCCGCCGAGTTCCAGGCAGGTGTGGGCTCACGGGAGCTGCAGACCCCATCCTCAGGCCCCGGGGCCCCGCCCGGCTCCGTCCCCGCCCGGCTCCCCGGCAGGAGCTGTCTTGCCCCCACCGCCTGGCACAGTGTTTCGTCCGAAGGGCCATGTCCCTGAGGCCAGACGTGCGGGTGCACGTGCTGGCGCCGTTCCCTGGAGGAGGTTGCGAGCAGCCTGCGCCCTCCTGCGCTGGGCTCCCTTTCCGACGGGGCGTGGAGCTGACCCGCGTGGGGCCATGCACAGGATCTGCAGGAAGCAAGCGGGAAAGGCGGCCTCCATCTCGGAAACTGTCAGTCTCGCAGACTCCAAGTCACCAGCTGGTGACCGGACTGTTCTGTCCAACAGCAGAGGTTTCATGGTCGAGTCCACCTCTAATCGTGGGGTGCTGTGCACCGCGTGGGGCGGGCGGAAAACAGAATGGGGCTTGGTTTGTATGAAGGGCAGGACGGCTCTTTCGTCTTAATTTAAAAAAAAAAGTCTTTTCCAGAATTCCCGGCATCAGCAGACGTGGGGGTTCTTGCCGTGGGGTGAGTTTTTCCCAGCGCCCTGCGCCTGCGCCGGCCCAGCAATGACAGACTGTCCAAGGAGCCCGTGTGAGGCGGGGGTGGAGGGAGCCTGTGCTTCAGTGGAAGGCACAGGAGGAGGTGCCACGAAGGGGCAACGAGACTGATTTTGATGATGTGGCCGCAGCCAACCCAGAACTCTTACAGCGACTTCCCTTACCCCAAAGGACGAGCTACATGTCACAAAGGGCACTCGGTCGGCCACACGCTCCGCTGCACAGGAAGCTCAGCCGCCCCAGACGCCTGCCCCCTCTGAGGCTCCATCTCCAGGCGGCAGGTGGGGCACCGGGGCCTGAGGGTGCCCACAGCAGGTTCCAGTTCCTGTTGCCCCCGCCCCCGACACTGGGGGCTGAAACACCATCCACAGCGGGCGGCCAGGGGGTGGAAGAGCAAGTCCATCGAATGCTGCTTTGTGTTCCTTTCAGGTGCATCACCTGTCGGTTAGACAATCATATACTTTCCAAAGTGTCCCCCTGGCACTCCCAGGGCCCGGGCGGCACCACAGCTGGTCATGACGGTATCTTTGTTCCCGATGCTGCCGAACCGGCACTGCTGCCCGAGACCTGGGACCAGGGCAGTGCTCCGTGTCCCTGATGTGTGGCCTGCATGTCTTTGGAGACCAGAGGTCAGTCACCCTGAGGGCTCCCTCGCTCTGGCAGCTCCGTTGTCTTTGGGGGGTTCCCGGGGGGGTCCCACATAATGTTCAGCGCTGTCGAGGGGAAACTTTTCACCAGGTTCTAAAAGGAGCCACGTGGAAGAAAAATTAATAAATAGGAAAAAAAAGAAGAGCCACGTGTCCTGATGATCAGAACTCTGCAAGCGGGTGGGTGCCACTCCTCAGGCCAGGGGAGCCGATGGCAACCGTCATGGGGACTGAAACCCTGGGTGCAACTGACAGGCAGAGAGGAGCCGCTGCAAACCGGATGGAGGTGCCTCTTTGGAACCTGCACCCAGAAATCTCCCGAGGCCGTGAGGAGCCCCAGCAGCCCCAGAGGGCGTATCCCGCAGCTGCCGTCGCTGTCAGAGCAAATCATCGAAAGGGGTTGGAGCCCTGGCCGGTGTGGCTCAGTGGCTAGAGCGTTGGCCTGTGGACCAAGGGGTCCCGGGTTCGATTCCGGTCAAGGGCATGTAGTTGATTAAAAGCTCCTCCCTGGGCCTGTCAGGGCACGTGCAGGAGGGGGTATGTGCAGGAGGCAACCAATCGATGTGTCTCTCCCACATCAATGTTTCTCTCTCTGTCCCTCTCTCTCCCACTCTCTCTAAAAAGATCAGTGGAAAAATATCCTTGGGTGAGGATTAACAATAAATAAAATTTAAAAAAAAATAAAGGTTTTGTGCATTCCCGCTGTCATTCTGGGCTTCAAGTCCGTTGCTTACAGGCAGGACAGAGAATGGCATCCACTGTCTGGGCTGTGGCTCTGCAACCAGCCTGTGTTGCTGTTGTCACAGATCCGTTGCTCACCAATGTTTCCGAAACGGAGTCAGGGCTGTTGTCTCCGGGAATAAGGAAAAGGAGTGGGGTCCGCATTGGGTTGTTCACACTTCTGCTTTCCAAAGCCTGTGGGAGAGCCAGAGCTTTTTATGTTGAACTACTTTTTTTAAAAAATATATATTTTATTGTTTTTTTACAGAGAGGAAAGGAGAGAGATAGTTAGAAACATCCATGAGAGAGAATCATCGACCAGCTGCCTCCTGCACACCTCCTACTGGGGATGTGCCCGCAACCAAGGCACATGCCCTTGACCGGAATCGAACCCGGGACTCTTCAGTCCCCAGGCCGACGCTCCATCCACTGAGCCAAACCGGTTAGGGCTGTTGAACTACTTTTTAGCGACTGTACGAAGGCATAACTGACATGCAATAGCCTATAGATATTTAAGGTGTACCATTTGAAAAATTTCAGATATGCAAGCCCAAAACACAATCATAGTCACAGGTAACATATTCACAATTTACCTTGTGCCCTTTTATAACCTCGCCTTGTCCTTCCTGGGCCTACAGGAGTCCTGGAGTTACTTTCTTTCTTTTTTAAAAAAATATATATTGATTTTTTTTACAGAGAGGAAGGGAGAGGGATAGAGAGTTAGAAACATCGATGAGAAAGAAACATCGATCAGCTGCCACCTACAGGGGATGTGCCCGCAACCAAGGGACATGCCCTTGACCAGAATCGAACCTGGGACCCTTCGGTCCGCAGGCCGATGCTCTATCCACTGAGCCACACCGGTCAGGGCCAGAGTTTACTTTCTTTAACGAAAACTTAGTGTGCATTGCCCTAACCCAGTGGTTCTCAACCTTCCTAATACCGCGACCCTTTAATACAGTTCCTCATGTTGTGGTGACCCCCAATTTCATTGTTACAAAATTGAACACATTTAAAGCATAGTGATTAATCACAAAAACAATATGTAATTATATGTGTGTTTTCTGATGGTCTTAGGCGACCCCTGTGAAAGGGTTGTTCAACCCCCAAAGGGGTCGCGACCCACAGGTTGAGAACCGGTTTGGCTCAGTGGATAGAGCGTGGGCCTGAGGACTGAAGGGTCCCGGGTTCGATTCTGGTCAAGGGCATGTACCTTGGTTTCGGGCACATCCCCAGTAGGGGGCGTGCAGGAGACAGCTGATGGATATTTCTCTGTCATCATGTTTCTGACTCTCTATCCCTCTCCTCTCCTCTCTGTAAAAAATCAATTTTTTTTTTTTTTAAAGAAAGTACCCTAAAAGAAAAGGAAAAGAACAAGTCCTAGGCTGGGTAGCATAGGAACAACGGAAATTTACCTCCTTGTTCTGGGAGCTGGACGTCCACCGTCAAGGTGTCCGCAGACCGGTGTGTGGCGAGAGCCCTTTCCCAGGTTCATCGACTGCCTCCTCCTGGTGCGACCTCACCTGGAGGAAGGGGCAAGGGGGCTTTTGGGGGCCTCTGATCAGGACACCACACCCACTGCAGGAGGACAGATAGGATGGGGTTCAGCCAAGCGCGGGGGTGGGGTGGGGAGACAGAGAGAGAGAGAGAGAGAGAGAGAGAAAGAGAGAGAGAGAGATCGCTCCTAGAAATGCCAGGATTGGGAGCTGGGGGAGCAGACAAGCACGGGCATGAGGGCATCTCATTGGTGCCCTGGAATGTCACTAAGCCCCGGGGAGGGAGGGCCCAAAAGGGAACCTGTGCGGGGGCAGCCTGACCACGCGGGCCGCTGGCCCTCTGGGTGGGGTGCGCACAGACCCTTTGGGGTGATGCTCAGCAGCACAGGTGTCATCATTAAAACCGTGCTTGCGGCATCAGCAGCATCTGAGGGGACAAGGGGCAGAGAACACACGGGGGACCCCGGCCGCCCATTGGGGAAGCCCAGAGCCGCCCCGCAGCCCCTGTGAGCCCCGCCCCGCTCCCTCCCGCCTCCAGCCCTCAGCTCCTGGCGGGGTTAGAGGGTCCCCGGCTGGGGCTGGGCGGACGCGGGAGAGAACTCCTTACCCAGAGGAGGGGCGCGGGGGCCCAGGAGGACAAGGGAAGGGGCCTTACTGGCCCTTTTGGCTGCGGTGAGGACAGCGAGGCGCCCGCCTGCGCCTTCGTGGGGCCCCGGCGACGGTTGGCTGCGCCCGCGTGGGGCCTGGGGGGCGGTTGGCAGAGCCCGCGAGGCCCCGGTGCCCACGCGCAGTCCCCATGGCGCAGGCGCAGGTGAGTGGATGGGGCCCCAGGCCCCTCCCGTGCTGAGGGGGAGCATGGGGGGGATCACTCTGGGCTCCCGATTGCTGTCCAGGCCGGGATGATGTGGGGTCAGCCCCGTTTCTGCCCCCCAAGGGGATGCCGCGTGGGAGGGAGCGTGCGCCCAGGGAGCGCGCGACCTGACCCTCGGGAACCTCCCTGCGCCCTGACCTTGGCTGTGACCTTGAGCAAGGCCCTTGCAGCCCGGAGCCCGTGTTCTCGGTTATAAGAGAGGGATCGTGACCACGTCTCGTCTGCAGTGAGGAAACGGGAAAGGACACGTGGGTGACGGGTGCGCCCCCGTGTCCAGTTCCCACGGAGACAGAGAGGCTGGGCGCGCGCGGAGGCGGGAGGAGGCCCTGGGGTTTACCTTTGGGTTCACAGCGCCGTCCAATGGGCTTCCCACCGACTGTGAGCGAATCCGCTTTCCTGTTCAGGAGACTCCGTTTCATCCGAAAGGGGCGCCCAGCCCCCGGGGCTGGCTCAGGGGTTGAGCATCGACCTATGAACCGGGAAGTCAAGGTTCCCTTACCTGGCATGTGGTCAGGGCACCTGCCCGGGTTGTGGGCTCCAGCCCCGGTGGGGGGCGTGCAGGAGGCAGCCGATGGGTGGTTCCCTCTCATCACTGATGTTTCTCTCTCCCCCGTCCTTCTGGGAAATCAGTAAACATATATTTAAGTAAATAAAGTGGCTGTAATCTCTGCAGGCTCCCTCTACTTTCTTGTCTTTGGAATGTTTGGGGCCCTCTGACGTCTTCCATTCATTTAGTTGCTTTTTTTTTTTTAAGAAATGCTATTGGATATTTGCATTATTTATATTATTTTTATTGATTTTAGGAGGGAGAGGGAGAGAGAACCATGGATCCGCTTCCTCCTACACGCCCCCCACTGGGGATGGAGCCCACAACCCAGGCCTGTGCCTTGACCTGGAATCGAACCGTGACCTCCTGGTTCAGGCTGACACTCAACCACTGAGCCACACTGGCCAGGCCAGTTAGTTGCTTCTTGAGGCTGTTTCCAGCTCAGAGCCGTTGCTGCTCTGTGCCACGACTAGAGCGGCCTGGGCTTGCCAAAGATCCTGGGAAAACGGCTCCAGGAATGCCTCGGTCTCCCCGTCAGGGGCTCTCATCACTCTTACAATCCACATGAGCCGCCCACAGCGGCCAGCAGGGCTCCCCTTCCCTCGCTCAGGGCACCCACCAGCCGGTCTGGAACTTGCCAGACTCCTGCCCCTTCTGCAGCCTTTCCCTTGCCCCCTCCCCAGGTCTCTGCGGGGCGGCCTCTGCACCCTCCCTGTGCCTCAGGGGACCTCTCAGGGGGACCTGTCCAGGCTTTAGTTCCAGCTAAGGCAGCCCTGGCCCCAAGGGGCCCCAACTCTCTACCATCTCTTTTACTGATTGATTTTTAGAGAGAGAGGGGAAGGGAGAAAGAGAGAAGCATCAATTTGTTGTTCCACTTAATTGCATACATCAATTGCTTTCTAAAAATATATATTTTGATTTTTTAAAAATATATTTTACTGATTTTTTACAGAGAGGAAGAGAGTCGGATAGAGAGACACGTTGATGAGAGAGAAACATCGATCAGCTGCCTCCTGCACACTCCCTACTGGGGATGTGCCCGCAACCAAGGTACATGCCCTTGACCAGAATCGAACCTGGGACCCTTCAGTCCGCAGGCCGACGCTCTATCCACTGAGCCAAACTGGTTAGGGAAGTCGCTTCTTTTTAAAAATTTTTTATTTTATTAATTTCAGAGAGGAAGGGAGGAGAGCTAGAAACATTAATGACGAGCCCTGGCTGGTTTTACTCAGTGGAGCGTCAGCCTGTGGACTGAAGGGTCCCAGCTTTGATTCTGGTCAAGGGCACATGCCCGGGTTGTGGGCTCGATCCCCAGCAGGAGGCAGCCGAGCAATGATTCTCTCTCATCATCCTAAATCCTGATGCCCCTCCCCTGCACCATAGTAATATAACTCTTACTATTCAAAAAATGAACTCCTGTTCACATGGAGGCAGCCTGAAGGGCCAAGAACTTGGTCTAAGCAAGCTTCCAGAGAACATGTCATCCACGAAAGAGAAAAATAAAAGAACGGAAGCACAGCAGAAGTCCTGAGGAAGAAATCGCGAAGAAATTGTTAAAAAAAAATAAGATGAAGTCATAGGAAAAAATAGCAAATAAAGTTTGAAAACATGTAAGAGAGAACTGAAATACATAAATATGTCACAATACCTATGTATATACTGTAGATGAGGCCCCGAGAACCATAAGAAATGCAAAAAAATGCACTGTTAATAATTCAATTCTCTTGCCGAAACCGGTTTGGCTCAGTGGATAGAGTGTCAGCCTGTGGACTGAAAGGCCCAGGGTTCGATTCTGGTCAAGGGCATGTACCTTGGTTGTGGGCACATCCCCAGTGGGGAGTTTGCAGGAGGCAGCTGATCGGTGTTTCTCTCTCATCGCTGTTTCTAACTCTCTATCCCTCTCCCTTCCTCTCTGTAAAAAATCAATAAAATATATTTAAAAAAACAAAAAAAAATAATTCAATTCTCGTTGCCCTCCTTAAAAATCAAACTGCCCCCCATGTGGGGCGTGTGCCCCCGGTGGGAACACTGGGTTGGGGTGACCAGGGACAGCACGTGCCCTGACTCCTAAGACCTTTCTCCGTCTGAACGTCCGGTGTTGAACGAGGTTAGCGAAGCTTTGGCTGAACCTCTCTGCATGGTCACTGTGTTCACAGGCCTTTCTGGGTGTGGAGCTTCCCTTCGGACCAGACAGACTTTTGGTTAAAGGCTTGTCCACATGAGCTACATTCAAGACCCGTCTCCTCTGTGGACTTTCTGGTGCTGAATGAGGCTGAAACGCTGGGGAAAGGATTTCCCACAATCACCGCACTCCTATGGCGTCTCTCCGGATGTTTAACCAGGCTGGAGCTGTAGTGAAAGCTTTTCCCACAGTCCCTGCACTCGTAAGGCCTGGCTCTGGTGTGCACCCTCTGGTGCTTGACCAGGCTCGAATTCTCACTGAAGAGTCGGCCACAGTCCTTGCACTGAAAAGGCTTTTCTCCAGTGTGAACTTTGCGGTGCTGCATGAGGCTACAGCTTTGGCTAAAAAACTTCCCACAGTCCCCGCACTCATAAGGCCTTTCTCCAGTGTGAACTTGCCAGTGAGTAATGAGGCTGGCCTTGTGGCTATAGAATTTCCCACATTCAGTGCACTCATAAGGCCTTTCTCCAGTGTGAACCCTCTGGTGTTTCATGAGGGCCGAGCTGAAGCTAAAGGATTTCCCACATTCGCTGCACTCAAAAGGCCTCACCCCAGTGTGGACCCTGTGGTGCTGGATGAGCGTGGAGTGATGCCGGAAGGCTTTCCCACACTCACTGCACGTGAAGGGCTTCTCTCCAGTGTGAACTCTCCGGTGTTGAACGAGGTCGGCCTTGCGGCTGAAGGATTTTCTGCATTCACTACAGCCGTAAGGCCTTTCACCCGTGTGAACTATTTGGTGCACGAAAAGATTGGACTTATGGCTAAATGACCGCCCACACTCGCTGCACTGGTACGGCTTTTCCCCGGTGTGCAGCCTCCGGTGCTCCAGCAGTAAGTATTTCTGACCACAGGATTTCCCACACTCGCTGCACTTGTATTGCCTTCTTTGGGGGTGATGCTGGGCGGCCCCGCGTGGCGCCCCTGTACTGTGCGTCCCCTGCTGTCTGAGACCAGTGCTGGCTGGAAAGTCCTTCTGGCCTCGCGCCCTCTCTTCTCTCCCTAAGGGCTTCTCTCCACAGCACAGCTTCTGGTGTTGGCGACGGTCCACTCTGGGCACTCTTCCTGCAGGAACACTCTCCTCAGCCTCTGCTCCGTGCCCACAGCCTGAAAGCAGAGACTTGATGACACAGAGATGCAGGCCTGGGGGGGAGGGGCAGCACCTCACAAACCTGCACCCGACACACCCAGCCGAGCTGAATCCCGGGGCTGCGGGAGGATGAGGGCGGGAGACCGTGTGGGAAGGGCCTAACCAGCTCCCAGACCAATGGGGCCTCAAGAGCAGCCAGGACACAAGGATCGGCTCCTGAGAGCCGGAAGCTGCTGGTCACCCAGGAACACAGCCCAGAAGGGTGTTCAGACCCAGAGAAATGGAACCAACTGCCCGGCTGGTGTGGCTCAGTGGTTGAGCACCAACCCATGAACCAGGAGGTCATGGTTCGTTGGACCCCTGGTCAGGGCACACACCCGGGTTGCGGGCTCCCTCCCCAGTGGGCAACTGGGAAAGCAAAGATGGAAAGCAGGCCTGGCCCCTTGTCTTGGCACCAAACCGCCAGGCCCCGGGAAGGACTGTGGCACTGTGAGCCCCCCTGAGCCACGCCTCTTCCTCCGTACCTGCTGGTCTGGCCGCAGTCCTGAGGCCACCGGCACGCAGAAAGGGCTCCCCCCACTGCGCCAACTGGGGGAGCTCATGGGTGCCATCAGATGCAAGGCCTACGGGAGAGACAAGATGGGGGGGTGAGAGCAGCCCACCCCGTGGCCGATGACCCCTCAGGCTGTGACTGTGTTGGTGCCTGAATTCCAGCCACAGGCAGATCCCATGTCAGACACAGGAAGAGGCCAGAGCCTGGGAACAGAACCGCATGGACCGTCAGCGTGTCACCAAGCCAGGGAGAGGCCAAGGGTGCGAGCCACCAGGCTGACTGCGGGAGTCCTCGCCCCCAAACCCCTGCCCACAAGGCTTAGGGCAGCTCGGGGAAGCGGGGTGGCAGTGCACACAAGGCGGGCACGGGCTGGGCGCTCGCACAACACCCTCGGGCGGGGAAGGCGGGGGAAGCTCACCCAGGGAGGCCATCAGTACCACGTTCTTCAGCATCACGTCGCGGCACAGACGCCGCTGAGCCTCATCCAGGAGCCGCCACTCCTCCCGGGAGAAGCGGACAGCCACGTCCTCGAGGGTCACACGGCCCTGCCAAGGTGGGGAGAGAGGGGAGGGGACAGGGCGAGAGGAAAAAAACCATCCATGTGAGGGAATTAAGTGCGGGGGACCCTTCAGCATGCAGGCCGGAGCTCTGAACACTGAGCCACCGGCCAGGGCCACCATCAAATCGGGGTCCATCGGCCCCCAGTACCAGGGCCTGAGGCCACTGGTTTACAGTCCCTCCCAACGCGCGCATCACTCCTTCCCGCACCTCCCTTCACGTCCCCAACCCCTCACTGCCACCCCCCACCCAACACACACCACATGCATCTCCCAGCTTCACCACACGCCTGTGTGCACATGGCATCCGGGGGACTTGGCACATGTGATCAGAATCCCATCCTGGCCCTGGCCAGTGTGGCTCAGTGGATAGAGCGTCAGCCTGCGGACTGAAGGGTCCCGGGTTCAATCCCTGGTCAGGGCACATGCCCGGGTTGCGGGCTCGATCCCCAGTGGGGGGTGTGCAGGAGGCAACCGATCAATGATTCTCTCATCACTGATGTCTCTCTCTCTCTCACCCTCTCCCTTCCTCTCTGAAGTCAACAAAAATATATTAAAAAAAAAAAAAGGAATCCCATCTGCCCAGGCCTCCCTGCCCCCCTCCCTGCCTGACCCTGACCCTCCCTCTCTCCTCGGCCACCTGGGACCACACTCGGGTTTCAGACACCCTCAGCCCTCACTCATGTCTCCGTTGCCGAGTGTCTCCTCAAAGGCTCAGCTTCCTGCTGCTAATGACGCCCAGGCCCACGTGCCTCACATCACGCCCCCGACTCTCCCCGAGGCCCCCCTGGATCTGAGAGAATCCCGCAATCTCAGAGCCTGTGAGCCACACCTTCCCTGCCCCCCGAACTCCACATCCTCTCTCTTCTCTTTGTTAATCCTCGCCTGCAGATATTTTCCATTGATTTTAGGGAGAGTGGGAGAGAGGGGGAAGACAGAGAAACATCCATGTGAGAGGAGCACATCCATTGGTTGCCTCCTGCACCTGCCCCGACGGGGGGAGAGGGAGGAGGGGGGGAGGGGAGCCTGCAACCAAGGACATGCCCTTGACCGGAATTGAACCTGGGACCCTTCGGTCTGCAGGCCGACGCTCTATCCACTGAGCCACACTGGCCAGGGCACATCCATCTCTTGTCCACTCCCCTCCTCACTCCCGCAACCCCTCCCCCCACGGCCCCTACTCGGCCTCACGTGTCTTTGTGAAGCCCCCCCACCCCCAGGGGGGTGTCCAGCAGGAGACCCAGCCTTGGCCCCGCAGGCCCGTCGTGACCTAATGGCACGGCCACCAGGACTGAAGCTGCTGCTGCAGACTCTGACCCACAGCTCCATCGCGGTCCGTCCACCATGGGCGGCGTGGGTGTCTCCATCGGAGCCCTTCACCTGAACCCCCGACTTGAAATCCCCTCAGGAGTCTCTGGGACATCTCGGTTCAATATGGACAAAACCTGGCTCCTACTATTCCCACGGAAACCCACTCGTACACCTGGCCAGGCGGCTCAGTGGTTAGAGCGTGGCCCCGACAGGCCAAGTTGTGGGTTCAATCCCCAGTCAGGGCACAGACAAGAACCAACCAATGCGTGTGTGAGTGAGTGGGACAGCAAGTGGGTGTTTCCTTCTCTCTCTGTCTCTCTTTTCCCCTCTCTCTACAATCATTTTAAAAAGAAAAAAGAAGAAATTTCTCTTACAGCTGCCCTGGCCGGTGTGGCTAAGTGGATAGTGTCGGCCTGCGGACCGAAGGTTCCGGGTTCGATTCCGGCCAAGGGCACATGCCTGGGTTTCGGGCTCGATCCCCAGCAGGGGGTGTGCAGGAGGCAGCCGATCCATGATTCCCTCTCATCATTGATGTTTCTGTCTCTCTCTCCCTCTTCCTTCCTCTCTGACATCAATAAAAAGATATTAAAAAAAAAATAAGCGGAACAACAAATTGATGTTTCTCTCCCCCCCTCACAAATCAACAAATTAAAAAAGAAAAAAGGAAGTTTGCTCCGATCTACTTAAAATGCATACACAGACTCCACCGTCTTCAACCTCCACTCCACCGCGGGTTCGGCCACACAGACACTCGCGGGGACCATTGCAGTGGCTCCTCCGTGGCCTCCCTGCACCCCCCACAGTCCGCTCTCCGCGCTGCCACCAAAAAGCTTGTCAAGCCCTGACCAGTGTGGCTCAGTGGCTAGAGCGACAGCCTGCGGACTGGAGGGTCCCAGGTTCGATTCCGGTCAAGGGCATGTACCTGGGTTGTGGGCACATCCCCTGTGGGGGGTGGGCAGAAGGCAACTGATCGATGTTTCTCTCTCATGATGTTTCTAACTCTCTATCCCTCTCCCTTCCTCTCTGTAAAAAAATCAATAAAATATATTAAAATATATTTTTTAAAAGCTTGTTAAGTCTGGGTCCCATCACACTGCCCTCCCCTCAACTGTCCCCTGGCTCCCACCACTATCGGCCGAGGCCCAGCTTCAGGCCCGGTTCCAGGTCCAATAGCTGCTTCCCGCCGCCTCCACCAGGCCCAGTGCCAACCACGGCCTCGCCGCCGGCACCTCCTGACGCTGCGGGTAGAACACACGGTGCCACCGGCTGCCAGACGTGGGGCCCAATCCAGACGCTCCCTGGTCAAGACTCAAAGCCCTGGCCCTGGGCGGCATCTGCCAGAGATCTCCGGTGGAAGGACGGACGGACGGACAGACAGACGGACGGACGAGGAGCAGGACCCCCTCCCTGACCTCTGCCTGGTCTGCAAGCACCTCTGCAGGCAACAGTGTCGGCCCCGGGGCGCATCCACTCGGGGCCTCTCAGCGGCCGCGTGGCCCTCCCCGTGCCTCAGTGTTGTCACCAGTAAAATGGGAACAAAGACGGCGCCCGCCCAGGGGGGCTGCTGCCTGGGTCACACTCGTGCCTGTGCGTCAGGCCCTTCCTGTCCCCACAATCACCGCCGGTCACAGCGCATCTGATGCGGCGCCAAAACCCGTCCAGTTGTTTTTATTTTTCAATTGATTTGTTCTATTTTTGATAGAGATGGAATAGCAAGAACCACGCCTCCTCCACGCCCCCTACTGGGAACTGGGCCCACGACGGCGCATGCGCCCCCACCCGGAACCAAACCCACCCGCGACCTCGGGGCACCTGGGGCGGCACTCAGCCACCTGAGCAACAGCAGCCCGGCAAGCCTGTCTTTTTTTGTTTTGTTTTGTTTTTTAAAATATACATTTATTGATTTCAGAGAGGAAGGGAGAGGGAGAGAGAGAAACATCAATGATGAGAGAGAATCATGCATCGGCTGCCTCCTGCACGCCCCGAACCCGGGACCCTTCAGCCCGCCGGCCGACGCTCTACCCACTGAGCAACACCGGCCGGGGCGGCCCGGCCGGTTCTGAAAATGCAGCCCAGATGGGCCATTCCTCCCCCTTCCATGGCCACCCGTGCGCCCAGTCCCCACCCGAACTCCTGGTCCCGGGCACTGACCCCTGAGCCTGTGGGGGGCGCCCACCGGGGGCGCGGGGAGGCCCGGGACGCACTCACCTCCGCCCGGCGCCTCAGCGCGGCCGCCGCCATCGGACTCTGTGCGCCGACCGGGACCGGGACGGGGCGGGAGTGAAGAACCTGGTCGCCCCGGTCCCCCGCGCGGAACGGGGGTCCCCCGGGGCGGCAGCCTCAGCCTCAGCCTCGCCCCGCCCCCCCGTCACCCCGCCCACAAACCAGCCACCCGGAGACTGAAGAAACTGACAGGCCCCTCAGAACCGCCCCGAGTCAACGCCCCTGAAGGCACGCCAGAAGTCCCGCCCCCAGAACGTCGGCCTTCGAGGAAACGACCGTTGTCATTGGCCGAGCATCTGCGCCGCGGAGCGCAGTGCTTTCTGGGAAATGTAGTTCCCTAGGCGAGGCGCTAACCGTTAAGGGAGTAGAGCTCCAGGGATAGGGGTAGAAGAGAAATCAGAGTCCAGGATTCCGCCTGTTCTTTTTTTTTTTTTTTTTAATTATATTTGTTATTGATTTCAGAGAGGAAAGGAGAGGGAGAGAGAGATAGAAACATCAATGATGAGAGAGAATCACTGATCGGCTGCCTCCTGCACGCCCCCTACTGGGGACCGAGCCCGAAACCCAGGCATATGCCCTTGACTGGAATAGAACCTGGGACCCTTCAGTCCTCTATCCACTGAGCCACACCAGCCAGGGCCAGAGCCTGCTCTTACTGATGGACCTGGATTTCCATGGCCCTGCACAGCGGGGGCCCCAGTCCTTCCTTTTGTCGTATCACAAATCAGCGAGCTGGACAAGACGCCTTCATCAGCCAATTAGTTACGAGTCACCTTGATTGCGGGCAGGCTCAGAGCAGATTACCGCTGTCAGATCCTGAACCAACACACAGCAGGGAGACTTTCCTTTTTATATCCTTCTAGTTCTTTGTGTAAGTTGTTTTTGTAGACAGCGTGTAACCTTGAGTACATATCATATCTAGCAAATGCCTGTCATATCTATACAGACACCTTTAACCGTGGATACAAACACTTGGCATGAGAATATGGGGATTATTATCAGTATCAGCGTATCAGTCCCTTTAGATCAGTGGTTCTCAACCTTGGCTGCACATTAGAATCACCTGGGAATCTTTTTAAACTCCAAATATCTGGGCCTCATCAATGGCTAGCTTGCAAGGTCAGACAATTAAGTTTATCTCTTCTATTATTCAAGCCAAAAAACAAAGTTATTTTACAGTCTAAAAATAATAGAAGTAGCAGCCCTGTAGGTTGCTTGGTGTAAAGAAATAAAAAAATAAAATAAATAAAAATGATAGAGAATTTCAAAACAGCAGAGAATTCTAAAACAGCAGTTTTCCCTAAGGAAGGATCATTACCATGCTTCACTTTCCTTTTTTAAAAAATATACTTTATTGTTTTTTACAGAGAAGAAGGGAGAGGGATAGAGTTAGAAACATCAATCAGCTGCCTCCTGCACACCCCCTACTGGGAATGTGCCTGCAACCCAGGTACATGCCCTTGACCGGAATCGAACCTGGGACCTGTCAGTCCGCAGGCCGATGCTCTATCCACTGAGACACACCGGTTAGGGCTTCCTTTTCTTTTTAAAAATATATTGTTTTTGATTTCAGAGAGGAAAGGAGGGGGAAGCCTCGCCTAGTCCGTCCTTTCCAGGCGCTTCTAACGCTGTGATTCTACCTTTGCCCAGGAGGTGGCGCTCAACGCACGTCTCTACGGTTAGTGCTTGTGGGAACTACATTACCCAGAAGCCTCGGCGGTGCAGGGCCAATGAAGACCCAGGAAAGGGTCGTCTCCGTGCGTGGGGAAGGCTTAGGGGCGGGACTTCCGGTTCCCTTCTTGGGCGGACATTTTTCTTTTGGATGGGGAGTCCACCTCCTCGTTCTGCCCAACGCCGTGTTTGACCTGCAGTGACGGGCGCGGAGGCGGTTCTTGTCCGAACGGAGCCCGGCTCCTCGCCCTCGTCTCCCGCCGCTCGGGCCCTCGCCTCCCCGGCCCTCAGGTGCCGAAGGCGGAGGCCGCCCTGGTGGAGCCCGCGCAGGTGGGTGCTGCGCCCCCGGCTCCTCCCCGACCTCCGCCCCTGAATCCTCAGGCCTCGATGAGGGCCGTGGGGGCGCTCGTGGCGGGGCCCCGTTTCTGACCGGGAGTTTGAGGGGACGTGGCGTGACGGGCGAGGAAGGCCCGCGGGTGCAGGGGCCTCGGGAGCCTGGGCGGGGTGTCCGCGGGGTCGCAGTGTGAGGAGGGGTGACGCCTGCAGTGTCAGCTCCGCTGTCATCTGAGGGGATGGGAGCCATGGGAGGTCCCCAGCGGAAGGCACGATTTGGGTGTTTTTTAAAAATATGTTACTAGGGCCCTAACTGGTGTGGCTCAGTGGATAGAGCATCGGCCTGTGGACTGAAGGGTCCCGGGTTCGATTCCGGTCAAGGGCATGTACCCAATAGGGACTGTGCAGAAGGCTGCTGACCGATGTTTCTCTCTGTAAAAAAATCAATAAAACATATTTTAAAAAAATAGATGTGATTAGGGGCCCAGTGCACGAATTCGTGCACCTTGAAAGGGACTGTGGGCCAGAGGCTGTGGGGGGCACCAGGGCGGGTCTTGGCCCATCCTCTGCCGCCCCCCCACACTGACCCCTCGCGCTGACAGTGTGAAGCGATTGGGTAGCGTCAGCAGCGGGTGCGAGAGGCACCTGCCAGCCTCTCCCCTCAGGAGCAGGGGAAGGTGGGGAAGCCCTCAGGGGCGATCCGGGTGCCGGCAGGGGGTGCAAGCGCTGGGCCGGACCACGGCGGCTCGCGGAAGCAAGGAATTTTCAGTCACCCCAGAGGCCCGCCTCCATGACGGCGGCCAGCAACCAGCGCCCTGGCTTGGTCTGGCGCCCCCGCTCACCTGCTCCACCTTCCCGCCACAGCCGATGCCCGCCATGTTCTCCGTGCGCCCCCTAGTGGTCAGCGCACCTCACAGCGACCTGTTGTTTGACTGGTTTATTTGCATATTAGGGTTTTATATATATAGATAGGTTGACTTCAGAGAGGGAGGGGGAGAAATAAACATCCGTGATGTGGGCAGGATGCCTCCTGCACGCCCCACACTGGGATCGAGCCCCCACCCCGGGCATGTGCCCTGACTGGGAAATGAACCCTGAGCTCCTGGTCCATAGGTCGAAGCTCAGCCACTGAGCCACGCGGGTCCTGCGATTGGAGGGTTTTATAAGAATCCCACAGGCTGCTCAGGGAGCACAGACTTGGCGCACAGGGTCAGGGGGTGATGAGGACAGTGAGGTGCAGTAGGAGGGAGACCTGGGCGGCTCTGAGGCCCGAGCGCAGAAGGCAGGCGGCAGCCCTGGGTCTCAGTGGGGGGCAGGGCAGGCCGAGGGGACAGGCATGAGCCCTTGAGGTCCCTTCCTGGCTGCTGGTCGCTCACCGTCTCCCTCTCCCCACAGGTTCCCACGAGCTCGGAAGTGATCATGGACCTGCAGGTGAGGGGTGATGCCACGCTCCCTGATCCCCTCCCCACCCCACTGGTCTCCAGGATTGTGGTGTCAGAGGCCACGTGCATGCCCACAGTTCTCGAGGCTGCGGACCCTGGAGAAAGGCCCAGCCCAGGGTCCCGGGTCCCAGCCTGGGGTCGAACGGAAGGGCTCCCATTCCTGGCCGCCATTGGAATAAGGGGTGGAAGGTGCAAATACTTGGAGGAGAGACGGGATGGGGGTTCTCAAGTCCTTAAATACCAGGCATCAAAAGCAGGTGGGGGGGAGTTAGGCCTCTGTTGTTATTATTTTTTAACATTTATTTATTTTTTTAATTTTAGAGAGGAAGGCAGAGGGAGAGAGAGACAGAAACATCAATGATGAGAATCATTGATTGGCTGCCTTCTGCATGCCCCCCACCGGGGATTGAGCCCACACCTGGGCATGAGCCCTTGACTGGAATCGAACCTGGGACCCTTCAGTCCGCAGGCCTATGCTCTATCCACTGAGCCACACTGGCCAGGGCTCAGCCTCTGCCCTGAGGGTGGTGTAGCCGTGGCAGGTGCAGGGCCGAGGAGAAAGGTGATCTGACGCGGGTTTACCAGGCTCGCTCTGGGCGCCGAGTGGAGAACAGACTGTGGGGTGAGGGCCGGTGGGTTACGGTGCAGCCCAGCGAGGAGGCTGCTTTCATATCCTGGGTGAGAGGCAATAATGGATGGGTCAGAGGTCGGCTGTGTGGACGCAGTTGGGCCAGATCTCTGATGTGAGAGAGAGAGAGCGTGAGCACTCACCCCAGGTTTGGGGCCTTACCAGCTGTGAGGGTAGGTGCTCCCCCAGTGGTGAAGGGCAGGTCCGTGGTAGAAGTAACTCCCTGTGGATGTCAGCTCACCCGAGAGCACATGAAGGGTCTGAGATCTCCCAGAGAACAAGGCTCCTGGACCCGGATGGGGGTGCTGGGGGGGGGGGGGTTCAGGGTGGATGAGGCAGTGGCAGTGCAGTCAGCGAGCAGGAAGGGGCTGGTGAGGCCGACGCCTGGGTGAGGGGCCAGGTGCCAGTCGCCCTAAGAGGATGGTGTGCACGCGGAAAGGTGTGTGCACTGGTGGCCCTGGGGCCTGGTACCCGGGGCTTCGGGGAGAAAGGTGAGCTCAGCCTGGGCTGTCCGGTACACACAGTCCTAGCAGCCTTGGGAGAACTGGCTGCTGTGGTGGGTGTGGGCAGGGGGGTGTAGGGGCGCTTAGGGGGTGCCTTCCTGCCCACCTCGCTGTGGGTGGGCACAGTGACAAAGGGGCAGGCGAGAGCAGGCCCTGTGGCGCCCAGTCCTGGTACTTCCTCTGGGCTGAGGATTAGGAAGGAACGGGGGGGCCTGAGGGGGTGTCCCTGGGGGAGAGGCTGCCCATGGGCCCGCTCTCCCCCCTGGCAGGCGCAGGTGAACGTGGAGGACGTGGTCGTGTACTTCTCCCGGGAGGAGTGGGGGCTCCTGGATGAGGCTCAGAGGCGCCTGTACCGGGACGTGATGCTGGAGAACTTCGCCCTTCTGGCCTCGCTGGGTGAGCCCCTCACACCCACCCCAGGGCCCTGGACTGGGCTCTGCCCCTCCTGTTTTCCAGGGGGATCCCGGCCTCTCCTGTGTCGCAGCCATGGGTACTGCCTCCCTCCCCCGTTCCCTGGAGTCGGTGCTGGGGGTGCCCGGCATGAGCTGTGTGCACGGCCACCTCG